ACTTTTTTTTTTATTTTTGATTAGATTTCTTAAAAAAAAAAAACAGAATAAAAAAAATAAAAATTCAACAAATAATATAATACTTATACTGTAAATCATTAATTAAGACCACTCGCCTCAATTCCAAACTTTTTTGTTATCTCAAAGAATATAAATATGATAATTTTAATAAAAATCTAAATAATCTTTAGTAAATAAGGATTTAAAGTATTTTATTATAATATATTTATAAAATAATAATAATTTATTTTAAAAAAATAATGTTTTATATTAATTTTTTTAAAAAAATCGATTTAAATTAAAACTAAACTAAAAAAATGTAAACAAATTCCAAATAATTAATTTAATGTTCTAACTGCTAATAAAAATACACTAATAAATATATTATATTCATTTATAAGCATGTATGAAGTATAAATCAAAAAATTTTATTAAAGATATTTAATATTAATAAAAAAATACTTAAAAGTAAAAATATAATATTCATGTTTGTTAAATTTAAATATATGAAAAAAAAAAAAAAAAAAAAAGTATTATTAGAATATAACCTAACATGCCCATTTTGAGCAATCAACCATAAATAAAATACTTTGTTGAATAATAAAAAATAAAAGAAAAAGTATTTTAAAAATAACAAATATACTAAAAACCTTAATATTCTTAAATTAATAAAAAAAATAATATTGTTATTTAAAACCGTTAAAATTATAACTATATTTAAAGATAAAGAATATTTACTAATATTTCTCATTTTTAAAATTCTATGAATTATGATAATTCTAAAAAATTTAATGAAACATATTAGTTTTAGAAAATTTAAGAAGAAATATAAAATATAAGCATTTAAAACATTAATTATTCTGAAAATTCTCAATACAATGAGATTTTAGATAACGATATAAAAAATAATATTAATACATTCCATTCAGATGATGATAATGATGAAAAAGAATATAAAAATTATTATTTGTAGAAGGTTTAAGTTTATACAGATGAATATATAAATTAGCTTTTAGATTAAGGGATTCAACTTCCGGAATTGCCAGAACATGATTTTTGTAATAAAGGAGGATTAAATGAAAAACAAATAAATTCTTTAATTTAATTTAAGTATGATAAATGTATTCATTAGAATGTATTTGAACAAGATAGATGTTAGGTTTGTCTCGATTTGTTTTCTAATAAATAAAATATTTTATAACTTGATTGTAAACATATTTATCATAAAAAATGTATTAATTTATGGCTTTAAAAGAACTCTCATTGTCCAATATGTAAAAAATAGTAATGAATAATTTTCATAGAAAACATTATAAACATTTATATAAACATATAAATTTAACTTATAAATATAATTATTTTATAATAAAGTTGTATTTGAATTTTTTAAATAATATACATATATTTAAAAAAAAAAAAATAATAAAAATTTATTTAATAAAATTATGTGATTAATTATTGTTTTTTATTAATAAATTATTAATTTTATTTATTAAAACATATTTATGTTTTTATATTTATTATATTTATATATATAAAAAAAATGATTTCGGTATAATCTTTTAGTCATATATCATAAGCAAACTAATAAACAAATTTAAATATTTGTTTACCTTTAAAAGTACCAAAAGATTAGCATTAAAGCACTAAAAATCAAATTTTACAAAGCAATTCCTAATTAAATAAAAGATAATCTAAATCAAGTATTAAATTAATAAATATAAAAATAAATATATAAAAAAGCGTACCAATAATCAGATAATAAATGTATTGAGTAATATTTAGTAAATTAATAAAACAGTCTTTATAATTATTCTTTTAGTAATTAAAAATAAAATTTAAACGATTAAATTGGCCAATATATAATTTAAAAGACAATAACTTAATAACCAAATTATATACAAAAAAAAGTAAAATAAAAATAATGAGTATTGTTTATGTATTAAGATTAATATTTTAAAATTAGTAAATTTTTAACAATAATTATATTAATTTTAAATCACTTTCTTAATATAATACACCAATTAGAAGAGAATAATAAGTACGATTAAATATTATAATAAATATTTAATTTAATAAAGCAAAAATAAATTATAAAATAAACCTATGAAAATTAAAGAAATGAAATGAAATCAGACACTCTTAATAACTCTTATAGAATTTTTAATAAGACAGTTGAAAAAGGGACTTAATGTAATTTAGACGAAAAATAAGAAGAACATAAAATTTAGTTTTACAAAGAAACAACATATCCATACAAATATTAAAATTATTTTTGTGTAAATTTAAAACTAGTGACTAATATATAAATAATAAACAATTTAAGAAATAATCACTAAAATGATTAAAATGAAAATTAAAAATTATTAAATGATACATAAATTTAAATCTCAAATATTTTAAAATCTATAGACTCTTAACAGATTGAAGAATCTTTAAAACATATAATATTATTTAAACAATAATTAAAATAATAATAAATAAAACATTAAAATATACAATTGATTTATAAAAGTATTGATAATAGTATTTTGGATGGAAAAAAAAAATAAGCAATCATATAAAAGATTGAATAATAAGAAATTGACTATTTTGAAAAAATTTACAATTAAGGCATTTAATTAAATTATAAATTAAAACCAAAAAATGAGGCTTTTAAAATAATAAAGAAATATAATATTTAATAAACATAGTGGCATAAATATATTCTATTATCTACAAATTAATGAAAAAAAGAAAAAAAAGAGTAATTTAAGATATATGTGAGAATATTTTTATTTTTATAATTATTATTATTATTATTATTATTATTTATTATTATTATTATTAATATTATCATAATTTTTTTATTTTTATAATTACTATTAATTATACTTAAGTAAATAATTATTTAATTATCTTTTAATCTTATTAATTATTTTTTAATTAAATAATTATTATAATTATAAAAATTTTTATTTTATTTTTTAAAAAATTAAATAATATGAGTTAAAGAATTTTACCAAAAATATCAAATGCTTTTGGATTTTTAGGTATTTTTGTTGGTAGTTACTATGGATATTAAACCAGATTAGAATTTTAATATCCTAGTTAATAAATAATAATTGATTTGGCAGATGAATATTATTATAAAAATAATAAAATATAATTAGATAATGAGTAAATTAATATTTAAGATAAAATTTTGTTAACATAAATAAAGAAAAAATAAAAATAACAAAAAGATAAATAAAATTGATATTTTTTTAAAAACAATACAAAATATTTTAATGTTTATAATTTTTTTTATTATTTTATTTTATTGTATTTTTGATTTTTTTTATTTTTATTATTAAATAATAGATTTTTTTTGGTTTTTTATATATATTTTATAGGAATAATATAAAATAGAATAAATATACAATAAATATATATTTGTATTTAATGAAAAAAATAATGGAAATAATAAATTATTATATATTTAATAAGTTTTTTATCTCTTAAAAAATAATTTATATTGAAAAAAAAAAAAAAGATATAAATTTTTTCAAAAAATAATTAATATAAAAATAATAAATTAATATTAGATAAAAAGATAAATAAATTTAATACAAAATAATAATATAAATAATAAATAAAAATATATAAAAAGAAAAAAAAAAAAAAAAAAAAGTAAAGTAAAGAAAAGAAAAGAAAATGGCAACACGTAAAAATACATTTTATATTATTATTCGTTAATAATATTTAAAATGACATAAATAAAATAATATAAATAGAAGACAAAGTAAAATGGGTAGATATTTAAGGAGATGAAGAAGATTAATTAAAGACCCAATAACAAAATGTTCAAGCCAAATAAGAAAAAAAGGAACCAAAACCAGTATAACCATAATAATATTAATAAACATAAGAAGAAAATCAGGATAAATAATAATAACCACAAGCACCAGGATAAAAAAAGCAATTCTATAATAATAAAAAAAGGCCAATTCCATAGAAAAAAGTTATTTATTAACCAGAATTTTTAGAAAAAGCTACACACGGGATTTAAGCTTCAGTAAAACATATAAATATATTTTAAACTAATTTTTTATAAAGAAAAATATTTTCTAAATTGAAGATTCGGATGATGAAGTAGAAAAATCAGAATAATAATAAACATAAGAATAATAATAAGAAGAAGAAAAGCCTTAGGAATAATAATAAGAATAATAATAGGAATAACAATAATAAATTACTGAATAATAAAAAAAAAATGAAGGTATATTTTTATATTTAGTTTTAGTTTTTTTGTTATTTTATTATAAAGAATATAAAATATATATATAATTTTTAATATAAATAAAAAAAAAAGAAAAAAAAAAACTCTCAAAAAAAGAATTAAAATAATAATAATTATAAGAATTAGAAGAACTTTTAAAATAAAGTGGAGGTAAAAAATATAATAACAAAAAATAATTTATAAGTAATGATTTTAAAAAACAAAGTGGAATTAAAAGAAGAAGATAATGAATAATAAGGAGAAAAGAAAAAAAAGAAAAAAAATAAAAAGAAAGAAGAATAAATTGAATAATAATAAAACAAAAGTGAAAAAAAAGAATAAGAGCCAACTGAAAACACTTAAACATAATAGTAAGGGGAAGAATAATTAAATCCTTCTTAAGCTGCAGAAGCTGCTTTGAAAAAAAGATTAAATTAATAACAAAAAAAACAAAAAAATGTTGAAATTGAAAATGTAAAATAAGAAATTTTATTGAGATAATAAAAAGTTAAAAGAGCTTTAGGAAAAAAGAAAGAAGATCTTTGATAAAATTATAGAAATTATAGAAATAGAAAGCTAAAACAATAAAAATAAAAATAATTATTTAAAAATATTTTAAATATTTAAATTAATATTTTATTTAAACAAATTTATATATATTTTATTTTATTTGAATTTATTTATTTTATTTTATTTTATTTGAATTTATTTTATTATATTTCTGATTATTATCTTTAAAAAAATTTTTTTGATAATTATAGATAAATATCAAAATAATTAAAATTTTAATTAATTTATTTTTAATTAAGTAAAAATTACAATAAAATTAAAAAATTTTAATTATTTTTTATTTGGTATTATATTTTAAATATTTATAATTATTTATGTAAAAAGTATTTATAACTTATGATTGTCTTATATATTTTTTCTTTATCATAAAAAAAAAATGTTATAATATATTTTTTTTTAAATCATTAATGTTTAATTTAATTTTGTTTTCCTCTATAACTATATTATACAGAATTTTTTTATATAATTTTGCAATATACAACAATATACATTTATAAAAAAAAATTAAAAATAAAAAATATTAATTTATTATTTTAAAAAATTAAATTACATTTAAAAAAAAAAAACTATATGAACAAATAATATTAAATATTAGATTATATATAATATAAAAAATAAAATTAAAAATTATAAACAATTAATTAAAAAAATTAATAATATAATTTCTTAAAAATTTTTTTATATAAAAATTCATAAAACATAAGAGAAATATTAAAAATATATTTTTTTATTTTATTATTTTGTTAATGTAAAAAAAATTATAATTTAAAATAATATATATAAAAAAATTATAAAATATTAAAATAATAATTATTTTGATTTTCATTATGATTAATGATTATATTTTATTAATTAAAATAAAAATATTGAATTAGTTAAAAATAAATTTAATATAAAAATGAAAAAAATTAATTATAGTAAAAAAGTAAAATATTAATAAATAAATAATTATATAATTAATAAAAGTAAATTAAAAAAATTATAATTAAATTAAATATGTATAGAAAATATTTATTTCATAAAAATAAAAAATACAAAATAAATTATAATAAAAGTATTTGTTATTAAAATAAAAAATTAAATTAAATTAAATTAAATTAAATTAAATTAAATTAAATTAAATTAAATTAAATTAAATTAAATTAAATTCATATAATTTTTTTATTTAAACATCTTTTTAATAATAATATATTTTTATTATAATGTAAACATATTAAAAATATATAGATTTCTTTTATATTTTTTTTTTAAAAAAATATTAGTCATCAGTTTATTATTTTATTTATTAATAATAAATTCTATTAATTTATATATTTTTTAATATCTTATATTTAATTTAAACTTTTTATATAATTTTTTTTTAAACTTTTAATATATTTTTTTTTATTTTTGTTATTTAAGTTTATTAACTTTTCCTTATTTTAATTTATATAATCATATTTTTTAATTAAAATTAATTTTTTTTATACATTTTATTAATTTTATTGTTTTTTATATCAATTTTATTAAATAATTTTTATATGAAACTTTTTACTTCAAAATTTGCTTAAAATAGCCTTTACAATAAATAATATTTTATCTTAAGCAATTAAAAGTTTTAATTATTATATAATATTAATAATATTATTTATTTTTGATGAAATATTTATGCTTTTTCATAAATTAATTAATTGAAAAAATCTATATAATTTTTGTTATAAAAAAATAATATATTATAAACAATATATATAATATAAAATACGTTTTAATTATTTGATTATACTTTACGATATTTTTTGTATAGTTTAATAATTATTTTTTTATTTTTCATTAACTTTGTTTTATTGTGAATTTTTTTTTGTATATTTTCTCTTTTATTTTTATTTTGATATTGTTTTCTTTATATTTAAATTATTTAAGTTTTCAAATTCTTTTTTTATTGATAATTAATCTAAAATTAATTCGCTAATAGTATAATTTAATTAGCAAAAGGATTTATTAAATATTTTTGTTTGTGAATTTAAGAATTTATGTGCTATTATTTATAAAAAAATAATTAATATTATTATTTTAATTTTGTAAAAAAATAAATTCAAATATTATTTTTAGCATAAATAAGAAAAATATAATATAATTTTAGCTCAAATTACTTCGAAATATTCAGAATATATACTAGAACAAACATTGCAAAAATTATATCGTTTTTACATTGGAATTGGCTTTATTTTTAGAATAAAATTTAAAATATAACAAATTAAAAATTAAAAGTATTCAAATATATTAAAATTAAAATTTTTATATTTAATAAAATTACAATTAATATTTATCTTTTAATTTTGTCTTTTACTTCTTATTATTTATTTTTTTCATAAAGAATTTTTTTTTCATTTTTTTAATAGTGAATTTTATCCATTTAAGCTACAAAAAAAGGTAAATATGGTTTAAAATCGAACATCATTAAAGGTATTTATGAAACAAATGTATCCAAATAAGAACTATTCAAAATACATAAATTTATAATAAAAAAATATTAATAAAAAAAATTACTTAAAAAAATATGAATAATCAATTGATACATCTATATTAAAATAGCAATCATTTGATAAAGAAGTTATTTTAAATAAGTTTATAAGTTTATTTTAAGGTTCTATGTATTTCTTAATTTCCATACATTTTTAAGTTTGCTTTTATTATATATTATTTAAGAATTATTTATTTTATGTAATAATTGCTGTTTTTTATTCATTATTTGGCTTATTTTTTGATCCTTTTGGCCTTCCTTTTTTTTGATAAGTTTTAATTTTTGCATATTTATTTTTTTATTAATTATTTTTTGAAAATTTTTGAAATTTTTTTACTATAAATATTTTTAATTTAATTTATAATAAAATATATAATTATATTAAAAAATAACATAAACACATATAACTATAAAAACAACATTTTTTAACTTAGAATATTATATTTTTTTGCTAATTTTTTTATTCTTTAAAATTTATAATTTATATATTATTTTATTAAAATATCTTTATATTCTATCAATATTATTCTTTCAATAAAGGTTTACTTTGAATTTAATTATTTATTATTAAAGAATCAATATTCAATATATTAAATCCTACTGTAATTCCTAAAATTAAAGAAAGACATACATAACCATTCATTGTCATTAAAAGCATCATTACAATAACATCTGATAATGAATAAAAAAAGTGAAAAATACTTAAATAAATTCTATGTTTTAATAAAGGTTTTTATAAAAAATCGCACTAAATTTATTATTTTTAAAATATTTCTATAATATGGCTTTTTATTTTAGGTAAAAATATATGTAATAATCCATAAACAAAACAAAAAAAGCAACCTAAAATAAAAAAAAAATAGTCTCCTTTCTATGTATAAAATCTGTATTTAAATATTAAAATTAATTGGTTTTAATTTTTATTATAAAAAAATAATTATTTTTTTATTTTACTATTTAAATAAAAATCTGCAAGTTTCATCAAAATAAAGAAACATGTGCATTGGCATATCCATATCCATATCCATATGAACTTTTTAAGTACTTTAATTTACAAAGGTAGTTGGATTCTATTGATTAGTTGAAAAACTCATATTATTTTTTAATATATATGATATATTATTATGTTTGATAAAAAATATAAAAATTAACTTACTTTAATAAAAAATTATATATATTATTAATATATATAGTTCTAAATTTATTAGATAAAACAAATATATTAAGATATTAATATACCTATAAAAAATATATATATGTAAAAAAAATTTTAAAAATTAAATTTATTATATAGGAAAATAATAATTGTAAAATTTTAAAATATAATTTATTTAAAAGTGAAATAATTAATTATAACAAAAATAATTTATAAAGATGAAATTAATTATAAATTATGTTATATAAATAAAAAAAATATATATATAAATATATAAATATTTATATATATTTAAATTTTATATATTTTTTTATATATATATTTAGATATTTATTTTAATAGTTTTTTTTAAAATTTTTATTATTAATAAATCAATACATATTTTATAAATATTTCATATCATCGGCATAATTGATATACCTTTAATATTCGAAACAGTTTTATAATTTATATGGGTTTTGTTTTTTTCAGATTATTATTTTGCAATATTATCAAAGCCTTCTTTGAATAATTATTTTTTTGCTTTTCTAGCTTATTTGAATAATTTTAATTATTCTTTTCTTTATTTTTTTTCATCTTCTGTTTCATTTTTATTTATTTTTTTGGAAAGTTCTTTAGCTTTTAATTTTAAAGGATCATCTTCAAGATCTTCTTATTTATTTTCTTTCGTAATTCTACCTTCTTCTTTATTTTCTTCATTTTTCTTATCTTCTTTATTTTTTTTTCTTTTTTTTCATCCTCATCTTTTTCATATTCTTTTTCTTCAATGACTTAAACATCAGTTTACTTATATTATCTTTTTTTTTTATTTGGTTCTTCTATTACATTCAAATTTTCATGTACTTTGCTTCTTGAAAATTCTTTTGTTGCAATTGTTATATCTAATGTATATTCAGGAAGTGGTCTATGATAATTTTCTTCTGGTTCTATTTCTTCTCCGTTTTCTTGTCTTTTTATATAATTTTAAAGAGCAATATCTTATTCGAAAGTTAATCTTGGCACTAATTTTCTGGTTAAAATTTCTTCTTTATTTACAAAATTTTGAAATGGTTATAATCTTTCTTTTTATTTTTCCTCAAATTCGACTATTTTTACTCTATTTTTTTTATCGTCTTTTTTTTCTCTTAAACTCATTTCTTATAAATGTTAGTCTAATATGCTTTCTAATTAATTGCCTTTTATGCATTTTTATTAATGTTTTTCATCATTTTCATCATCGTTCCAATCTGAATCATTTAAGCCTTTTTGTTCTTTATCTAAATCTTCTTACCAATCTTCTTCTTTTTCATCTTTATTTTTTTATTTCTCTTGATTTTATTATTTTGCTTTTTTTTCAGGGTTCCTTTGTTATTCTTTTTATTAATCACAAATAATCATTTGCCCATTTTCATCTATTGTAAAATTAACTTTTTTAGCTTTTTTTTTCTTTTCTTTCTTTTTATTTTTTTCTTCTTCCTCTTATTAATCTACAATGATGGCCTTTTCCCCTTCTTAAGCTTTCATAACAAAATCATCTTCTAATTGTTCATAGGCATCATCATCTTCATCATAATTTAAAGCTTCGAAAACTTCTCTTTATTCTTGAGTCATTTCATCATAATCATAATCAATATCTTCTTTTAATTTTGGAGCAAATTTATAATCAGCATATAAAACAGCTTCTAGAACGCCTGAGTTTTAGCTATCTATTTAAATAATTTATATATTTATTTTTTATTTTTTTTACTTGATTATACAAAATGTTTGGAATAATCATAGCCATCATTTAATGGAAGTCCATATTCATTTAATTTTTTTAATTTAACACTTTTTGAAAGAACTAATTTTTCATATTTTGGTATTATATTTTATTCTGTTACTTTTTTTTAATATTCTGATTACTATTTTTATTTTTTTATATTTATAAATATTTTTATTTTTTATTTTTTTATTTTTCTAAATTTTATAAGTAATTTTTAATTTTTTACAAAAGTAAATTCAGGAAAATCTTTACATTATAAATCTGGAAAAGCTTATTCTTCTTTTTTTTATATTTCTTCTTCATCTTCTTCTTATTCTCTTTCATCTTCTTCATCAAAAATTTAATTTTCATCGAATTCTTCATCTTCTGTATTATAGCTTTCTTCAATCTCTTCTAATTCTTCTACTTCATATTCATATTAATCATCTTAATTTTACTATTATTTGTTTTTTAATTAGTCTATCCATAACTAATTTGTACCTAATTTCTCACGAATTTCAGGAGGAATCCAAAATTTTGAATTTTATTCTTATTTTTTTTATTTGAATTTTCCTTAATCTTAATCTGTAAATGAACTAAGTAAACTTGAAAACTTCTTTTATTCTTCTTCTGTTAATATTTCCATATTTGGCATTTATGTTAGTTCAAAAACTCTATCAGTTTCTACATTTTAGCCTGATTATGCTTATTTTTAGTAAAAAGGATCATCGTTATCACGATGTGTTAATTTGAATGTTATTGCTTTATTTTTATCTATAAATGCATCTTTTTTTCCCATTTATTTATTATTATTATTATTTTAGTTTTATACTTTATTTGTTTTAATTATTGTTTTATATAATAAAATTTATAATTTTTTTTTATAAGAATAAATTTACTTTATGTATAAAAATATAAAACTAATAAATGTATTAATTTTATAAAATGTAATTGCATATTATTAATTTATATAAAAAAAATATGAAATTTAAAATATAAATTTCAATTATCAATTAATTTACATTTAATATTATTTTAGTTATTTTATAAATCCTTCATTAGGTTAAACTATTTTTCTTTTAGCTTTTAAATACTCAAAACTTTAATCATAATTCCATTTAAATTTTCTCATTAAATAAGCAATAACCACACTAGCACTTCTGGACATTCCAGCAAAACAATGTACTAAAACATTAGTTTTTTATAATTATTATTCAAGAAAAACAAAACATTCATCAAAGTAAGGTTTTAATTAAAAACTTGCAATATCATCAGCAGCTATTATTTTTTAAAGAATTTTATTTTCATCGTATTTTAAATCTGTATGTTCGGCTACTGTTAATACAGAATAAATACTAAAAGTATTTTTATCTTTTATCTATTCAGCTGCCCATATATTTCCTATATATAAACATCCTTTTGTTTTATCGTTTTCATTTAATTATAAGACAATATTTATATCATCTTTATCGTAATTTCCGATCATATTTATTTGATAAATAAATTAATTAATATATATTAACAATTAAATTAATATTTTTAAATATTTTTTATCTAATTAATGTAAAAAATTAAATATTTTATCATATTATATAAAATACAATATTTAATTAAGATATAATATCTTTATTATTAACAAATAAATTGGATTTAAAAAAAAATAATAATATATGAATAAATATATATATATATATATATTTATATATATATAAATATATATATTTTTATAATATATATAATTTTTTCTATTATTTTTAATAATATAAATAAATATTTTTTTTTATATTTCACAATTATTTGAATTATAAATTTAATTTTTTTTTTATTTTAATTTAGTATTTTATTTTTACTTTTAATTCAATAAATTTTATCTAAAAATTTACATTTCTTTAATATATATAATATAAAATTACTTTTATTAGTTTTATTTTAATCAAAATAATTTTTTACTATATTTATTAATTTTTTTTTTTTATAAGAATATATTATATATTTTATTTATATTAAATAATATTTTAAATATTTTAGTTTTATTTATTTTTTTTAAATTTTTTATTTTATATTATATTTATTATTCAATTTATTAATATTATAGAAATTTAAAATAAATAAATAAATATATATTTATTAATTTAAATTAATAATATTTTATATTTATTATATATATATAAAAATTAAAATATTAATAAAACATAAGAATAAACTTTAATGAATATGAAAAGTTGGTAAGATGAATTTTTTAATATTAATTATTTTAAATTTCCTAAAAATGATAATCTTTAAGAAAAAATAATATAAAATATAAATTATTTTTCAACTAATTACAAACTATTATTTTCAATTATATTTACTGCATCTTTGTAATATATTATTATTATTATGGTTGAAAAATTTAAAAATAATAAAGATTGACTGATTTGACATATTTTTTTATAGTTTTAATATCTTTTTTAGGGTATTTATCACTATATATATATATAATTTATTTAATTAAGATGGTTTTTTATTTTATAAAATGAATCTTTATTACATTTAGCATTATAAAATATAAATATTAATAAAAAATTAATAATTTTAGAAATAATAAACATTTTATTTATAATAATTTTCACTGGAAAATTTATTTTTACTATTCTAGGCTTTATGTAAAAATATATATATATATATATAATAAAATAATTATATATATATATATATTATTTTAAATAAATTAG